GCCTTTGGATCTCCTAGAATTCAAATGGCATATTCTAAGATCCTTGGGACACCTCACAAGAAACCTATTTTGGCTGATGTCAAAAACATTACGCCGGATAAAACTTGTCCAGTAGGTAGGGAGTTGTCTTGTGTTTTTCCTCAGAAAGCTGTTCGGCGAAGTACAAATGGTCTGGTCACGCGCTGCTAGAGTCTTACGCGTGCCACCGAATAGAAGTTGTCCGGCGTGTGTTTTGACAAGTTGTCTAGTTAACTTGGTCTTATCTGGATGAGTTTCTTGGAAGGTTTCCCGTGTCTTCTCATTCATTATAGCTTTTTAAGCTCCCTTTCTTGAAAATTGGATCAAACACTTTTTGAAAAACACAATGCTAAGAATGGCCAAAATGAATGAAAAAGTGCCAATTACCTTAAAAACATTTTCAAAAATAGGTTTAAAGGTCTAGAAAATCTTTTGGCCAAAACGGGTGTAGAGAAGGTTTGTCACTCTCCATCCCTGACTTATTGCTTGGAACGATCTCCGATTTCATTATCGGGAGCTTTTTATAGAGCACCCGTGTCTTAAGGCCGATCAAAAATGGGGTGTCTACAGTTACCCCTCTTTGACAGAGCTTGGTCTGTCATTTCATGACGTAAGTGAATGTCAAAGCTTAAAGATGAGCCTTTTGACGAGGCCGTGAGGTGAGGGCTAATTAAGGCATGCAAAAATGCAGTTGGTTGAACCCGAGGGTTGCCTACGTGTCCTTTTACAAGGAATCAAACTAGTGTAGTTTAGGGGTGAATGCTAATGCTCGAAAATCAATTGAAAGTTGGGCTTACAAGCTTTGCAAGATGGGTGTTTGAAAGTTGGGCTTACATGTACCACATTGCCAAGGATTTTGAAATTGTTTGCAAGTTGATGGCATGTAATGCAATGATGATAAGCATATGAAAATGGCAATATGCAAGGCAAACCTCATGTAGATGATATGAAATATGCTGAAACAGATGCGGATGTGAAGAATGTAACCTCTCTGTGTGTTCACACGTTGAGGAGGTGAACAAGTGTTGAAATGATTGAAAGCATGGACACATTTCATGCGAGAATGTGTGCAGTGACAACAAAGTTGTAATAATCTGAATCGACTTGACATGATTGAACCTGCGAAACAGGTACTATTGCGCATGCCCCAAGGAAGGTATGCTACATGGCAACCCATAAAAGGAGCAAAGTACTTTAGAGACATGCTCCTACTTTACACTCAGGTTTCTCTATACATATATGCTAAAAGCACATGCACTCCAGATACATATCCTCAACTCTCTACATTCCTCTATTTCTAAATTCTACTTTGAGATAACTAACTTTTATGTCAGAGGGCCTTTAAGAAGGACACTGACTCGTGGTGAGTTCTCAAGGGTTTGTTTGCAAGTCCGGACATAATAGTAAGCTAACAAGCTTAAATGCATTTAATGCGAAAAGGGTAAATACAAGCCTAAACATACATCGTGTGTAAAAGATAAAAACAAGCTAAATCACACTTCATGTAAAAAAGGTAGGTGCAAACCAAAACACACATTATGTGTAAAAGGTGAAAACAAGACAAATCACACTTTGTGTGAAAAGGGTGAAGTTGTAGCCAACCAACAAGCCTAAACGCATTTAATGTGAAAAAGGGTGAAAACAAGCAAAATCACACTTTTTGTGAAAATGGTGAAGTTGTAGCCAACAAGCCTAAACGCATTTAATGCGAAAAACGGTAAAAACAAACCAAATTACACTTCATGTGAAAAAGGCGAAGACAAGCCAAATCATACTTCGTATGAAAATGGTGAAGTTATAGCCAACAAGCCTAAACACATTTAATGCGAAAATGGTAGAAACAAGCTAAATCACAGTTCGTGTGAAAAGGTTGAAGTTGTGGCTAACAAGTCTAAATGCATTTAATGCGAAAACAAGCCAAATAACACTTCATGTGAAAAGGGTGAAGTTGTAACCAACAAGCCTAAACGTATTTAATGCAAAAAGGGCGAAAACCAGCCAAATCAAACTTCGTGTGAAAAGGGTGAATGCAATAGATATATAAAATGGTAAGGCATGTGATAGATGCAACAAGTAGTGTGATAGATGCACAAAAGTGGTGTGATAGATACACCTCATAGTTGGGAAGTAGTGCTTTGGGTAGCACCTCATAAGATTGGAGAATTCGGTGTATGGAGCAGCCTTGTTCTGGAGAGCAATGTTTTCCAAACATCTTAGGACAAAATGCTATGGGTAATACTTCAAGGGTTTTGAAATGTTGGAAAGTAGGACCACCTCATCCTTATTTTGAAATGTAATGTTCTTTAAACAACTCAATTTATTGAAAATGGATACTCACAAGAAGCACTTATAGGTTTTGAAAAGCGGTCATCTTTTTACAAATTCATGATTTGCATATACAAGTTCGAAATACATATATCCATGAATGATCTTCCAACAAATCTTGTTTGTATGAACCATCTAGAGTTTATTTCATGGATTAATCACAAGACTGAACTCAAACCAACAAAAATGAAGAGATTTCTTGATTTTATTCCCAACCCTTACACAACTCAAAATCCTAGCTTAAAATGTCCAATTCCTTCTTGATTTCATGCCAAAGATGTGTTAGAGACAAAGATTATAAGTAGATTATCATACCTTAACTCAAGTCTAAGGTTTGCCCTTCGATTCTCTTCCAAAACCCTAGCTCTTCCTTCCTCTCACTCTAGCAAGCTCTCCGCATAAACCATATCTAAGGTTTCTCCTCATAAACCATATCATTATCTAGCACAATCTGATGATAGTCAATAACATGAGAAGGGTCCCAAAGGTAGCTTCGTAATATTGATACATGGAACACATTGTGAACTTGCTCCATGCCCGGTGGTAAAGCAATCTGACAGACAACCGGACCCAATCTTTCTAAAATTTGAAATGGCCCTAAGTACCGGGGTGACAATTTCCTTTTCTTCCCAAACCTTGTGTGTCCTTTCATTGGAGTGACTTTGACAAAAACATGGTCTCCAACATCAAATTCTAAGTCTCTCATTCTTTGATCACTGCTTGTGCTTTGATATTCTTTTTTGTCCCATACACTTACTGTTCAATTATGCACCTCTTAATTTCGCTCTATTTGTTGCCACTGTGCTCTTTTCATCCTTCTGTAGTTTCTGTTTACTGTTCACTGTTCTAATACCCCGAACCTGACATTCCGTACGAGCCCAGGCAGTTCTTCCACCACCTCCTACGTCAGTGAGAGAGATGACCCCTTCATTTGGTTTCAATGAGGGTGATGACAAAGAGGATGAGGAAGGGGAGAGCGATGATGGAGATGATGATGGTGAGATGGTTACTATAATTGTAAATTACATAAGCCTATGACACTACCCATTAATTATTAAGATATAAGCCAATAGTAATAAGAGCTTAAGGATAAACCACAAATTATAAATACCATCTCTCATTAAGCCTTCGTATGAAAATAAGTCTACGAACATAATTAAAGATCATCATTCAGGATTAAATAATACATCGTAGAATAGATTTCCAACATCAAAATGATCTGGTTACAACACTTGTTCATACTAAATTCATGGAAAGAAGTTGAAAACTAAGGAAAAAACTAGTAATGACTTCAAATGGCTCTAGGTCAACCACGACTTGTTAGTCAAGTCATCACTTGTATAATCCTCACCAGTTCGTTCTTCATTCAGCTCAGTTCTTGGTATAAAACGCAAGGGTAATACAAAGAAGGCCATGAGCTGTGAAGCCCAATATAACAATCTACCCCAACGCTACCCACCCCGATATAATACATGCACTTCATAAATACAAGTAATATAGCTATAAAAATTTAGAATGAACAACAGTAACATAATGATGATCATGGTAACGATAAATAGAGGAAGTAAAAATCAAGACAATAACAATTTGTAAGTTTTAGTTCTTCTAGTGTTCAATCACCTAAGTTAATTTTAGCAGTTTCCTATGGAATGCCATTCTTACCGAATGACAAACATTGGCCCAGAGCTATTCGGGCTCCTCCTTGGTAAATTAGAACATATCGGTAAATACCAACAATGCCTACGCCTTGAATTACATAATCAAGCTATATCATCGTTGGCCTTCCACAAGGGAACGACCTTATAGGGATACTCTTCATGTGTGAGAACCTCACTGCCACCCTTATACCACAACTGAATCTGTTAAGGAGCCAGGATTACCTCTTATGCCATGTTAGGGTTCGACATCTAGCTCACACAATATCATCACTAGCACTACAAGAATTAACACTTTTGGCAACAAAAAAATTGGTCGCTAAAAGTCTATTTTTGGTCGGCAAAAGTTATCGGCGACCAATTTTTTTGGTCGCTACTTTGGTCGCCAATTGAGGGTCGGCAAAAGTAATTCGCGACCAAAATTTTGGTTGGTCGGCAAAAGTCAGATTTGCCGACTAAATTTTTGGTCGCTAAATATATCATTACCGCGACTAATTCATTTAGTCGCTAAAACACTTTGGTCGCGAAAAGTGATGTTTTCCCGACCAAAAAGTTTGGTCGCCAATTATCACATTCAACGACCAAAAAGTTTGGTCGCCAATTGTGCCATTCCGCGACCAAAAAGTTTGGTCGCCAATTGTGACATTTTTTGGTCGGCAAAAGTGAGATTCCACGACCAAGAGCTGTTTTGGTCGGCAATACATGTATTTTTTGCGACCAAAACTCTTGGTCGGCAATTGTCATTTTTTGCGAAAAAAAATTATTTTGAAAGAATCGACTTCCAACTTTCAAAATCAACTAGCTACAGCAAAAAGTGAAGTAAATGTCCTCAATGCCTAAAAACTTGTATAGGGTTCAGTACTATATCAGGATTTGAAAGGCAAAACAAAAACAGCTAGAAAGAAAGAAAATGGGTAATGGAAAATAATTACTCAGGAAACAAATGCATTACAATTCAAAAATAAAATAAAGAAATATTAGGGGGAAAAAGGTGAAAAAGAACCAATCTTCTCAATCTCAGCATGACCAGGACATTCTTTTTAAATGCATAAATAAGAGTAAAATGTTAAACACACTGCAATATTCAAGGCTTTGAGATACCTTGGGAGAAAAATCTTCTGTAAGATAAACAGCACTAGAATTCAACTCGGATATAGTAAAAGGTGGGTCAAGTTCTGTGTGAAGGTATTTGAGTCCCTGAGCAATGCCTATGATAATTTTCATTCGCCGTGTCCAAGATAATTGGCATCCTTCTCCATCTGCAATTATAAAGAAAGCTCAAATTGCAGCTACTGAAACATGTTGGAGTAACCAACTATTAGAAATAACAAGCTTTACTCTTACAATGGAGGTGCTCATACAACGTCCCATCTGATGCATATTCAAAAACCAACATCCTTGTAAATGGTTTACTCTCTGCGCAATAACCCAGTAATTTTCCTATATTCTCATGATTTAATCTTGCCAAATCAGCTACCTGAATTGTAAAAATAAGTGAGATTTTAAAAGTCGTCTGTCACATATCTAATTACGTTCACCATCAATCTAATTACTTTACCTCTCTCTGGTAATAAAGCTCAAGATAGCCTGTCCAATGCTCTTCTTTAATGCAAAGCGATATTACAGCAATCTCAGGCCCACCTTTCATGGCCCCTTTGTAGACTAGATTGTCTGGAGAGGACCCAATAATGTTGCTGAAATCTTCACATGCTACTTCGAGTTCTTGTCTGCTAAATCTCAATACATCCTTCAACATCTCAGAATCTGTATAGACTCCACCAAAGTCAACATGAGATCTATCATATTTAAAGAGCACAACTTTGAATCTTAGATGTAACCTAAGAAGCACGGACACTTCTAAGAAGGTAACATGCCTTGTCCGACAGTGTAGGACATTGACACTCCATTCTACTTGTCAGACAGTTCCCAACATTTAGACACATGAAGCACATTACAAGTTTGAATCAAATAACTTAGAATCCAATGATAAAACAAAAATAAAATAAATCATATCTACCCTCATTTAAACTTAAAAATTATTATCTGATTTAAAAATTCATATATTGACATATAGTAATTATTTATCTTTATATATAACATATAATAAAAATATAAATATATATATAATAATACAAATAATATGTTTTGTGTGTGTTTCCCATGTGTCATGTCATGGGAAACATTTGTGAAGATTTTCATGTTGGCATGTCCGAATCCATGCTTCTTAAGATGCAATGTGGAAGATATAAAAGAGCTTACCTATGTATATCGTCATGTGATCCTTGTCACTTGAGGATTTCTTCCAAGGGATGATGATGGAGGTTTTGCTTTTGCATCTTTGGAGAGCAATGAGAAGTCCAAATCGTGCAGTAGAGCGCTGTTTGGGATCTTTGTCTTGAAGGCAGTTCCCTTGAAAGCTTGACCTGCATGAATTAAACTATGTAATGAAAAGTTTAGGAAACAAAAACAATCCAGATTGAAGGTATTTCAAAAGAGTACCTTGGAAGGTAATCTAAGCACTTGGGAATGCTCCCAACAAAGAAGTTGAATGAGAAATCAGCAAATTTTAACTGAGATGAACGACAGAAGCCAGTAGTGTTCTCACTTGAGGTATACCTGTAGCAGAAATGGCATGTGTCAATTTAAGAAGATCAATACATTGGGAGCGATTTGCTGCAAAATGTTGGTATTTTATTTTCCAAATTGACTAGATTAACAAACGCTGAAGTGGACCTCAATTTTCTCAGCATACCCTGATACAGTTAATAGGACCAGTAATATTGATAGTCATGAATCAAAAATCCACATCAACAATTAGTCGCGTTCATTGCAGCACACTTGAAAATTTCAAGATGCTTATATAGTGAAAAGAACTAACAATAGCTGTGAAAAGTTACAAAACACATTTTTCACAAAGAGCTAGAAGTTTCTTTGAAATAGTGGGAAACCAAGATAAAGAGAAGAACGTAACATCTCAAATGCGAACTTATCGCCCACTTCGTACTCCCTCTGTCCAAAATTGTTAGTCCATCTTTCCATTTAGGGATGTCCCAAATTGTTAGCCGGAGATCAAGACAACAAGAAGGAATGACATCTAAAATATGAATTTATCCCAATTTCCTACTCCTACAGTCCAAATTGTTAGTCTATCTTCTAATTAGAGATGTTCCAAAATGCTGGCCCAGTTTGAAGTGCTAAAAAACATATCATTGAATGACGCAGGTTATCCTCACAAAGAGATATGAATTATGCCACCTAAACACCTAAACAGGATATGCCAGACCAGTCACAAGGATCTGCATCTACCTTATTCCAATTTGACAAAGCCATTTCGTTGAAGGCATAAAGAGCAGACACTGAACAAAACACAGAATTCCAAGTGAGACAAAAATTTAAAAATAAACAAATAATTAATTAAAATCCATAAAATCAACAGCAAAATCCATGAAATTTTCCTCAGAAAAGAATCAAATCATATACCACATTCATATAAATACTAGAATCAAACTTAAGAAGAAAAAAAAAAGAGACAGAGATCGTAAATTAGATAATCAATGCGAATTTTCTTTCTTTCTTTCCTCCAAACATTTTAACATAGACCAAAAAACAAACACCTTATAGGCATGCCAAACACTAAGGAGAGACCATATGACTACTATCATTGATACATACAAACACTCTATTGCGTGTGTGTATATATATATAGATGTAGAGTTCATCAATACCTGGTAAGGAGAGGCCAAACACACAAGCACACACTATATATGTACCTGGTAAGGATAGACCAAACACACAAGCACAAACACTATATATATATATATAGA